ATCCGTCAGGTTGGTCCGTGAGGTCCGTCCGTGAGGTCCATCCGTGAAGTTGGTCCGTGAGGTCCGTCCGTGAGGTCCATCCGCCAGGTTCGTCCGTGAGGCCCGTGAGATTCGTCCGTGAGGTCTATCCGTGAGGTCCGTCCGTGAGGTCCATCCGCCAGATTCTGTCCGTGAGGTCAGTGAGGTGCGTCCGTAAGGTCTGTCAGTTCCATCCGTGAGGTTTGTCAGTTCCGTCCGTCAGGTCAGTCCGTGAGGTTCGTCCGTGAGGTCCATCCGTGAGGTCCGTCCGTGAGGTCCATCCGTGAGGTCCGTCCGTGAGATTCGTCCGTGAGGTCCGTCCGTGAGGTCCGTGAGGTCCGTCCGTGAGGTCCGTGAGGTCCGTCCGTGAAGTTCGTCCGTGAGGTCCGCCCGTGAGGTCCGTGAGGTTCGTCCGTGAGGTCTGTGAGGTCCATCCGTCAGGTCCGTCCGTGAGGTCTGTCCGTGAGGTCCAACCGTGAGGTCCATCCGCCAGGTCCGTCCGTGAGGTCCGTGAGATTCGTCCGTGAGGTCTATCCGTGAGGTCCGTTCGTGAGGTCCATCCGCCAGGTTCGTCCGTGAGGTCCGTCCGTGAGGTCCATCCGTGAAGTTGGTCCGTGAGGTCCGTCCGTGAGGTCCATCCGCCAGGTTCGTCCGTGAGGCCCGTGAGATTCGTCCGTGAGGTCTATCCGTGAGGTCCGTTCGTGAGGTCCATCCGCCAGGTCCGTCCGTGAGGTCCATCCGCCAGATTCTGTCCGTGAGGTCAGTGAGGTGCGTCCGTAAGGTCTGTCAGTTCCATCCGTGAGGTTTGTCAGTTCCGTCCGTCAGGTCCGTCCGTGAGGTCTGTCAGTTCCGTCCGTTAGGTTTGTCAGTTCCGTCCGTCAGGTCAGTCCGTGAGGTTCGTCCGTGAGGTCCATCCGTGAGGTCCGTCCGTGAGGTCCATCCGTGAAGTTCGTCCGTGAGGTCCGCCCGTGAGGTCCGTGAGGTTCGTCCGTGAATTCTGTCAGGTCAGTCCGTGAGGTTCGTCCGTGAGGTCCATCCGTGAGGTCCGTCCGTGAGGTCCATCCGTGAAGTTCGTCCGTGAGGTCCGCCCGTGAGGTCCGTGAGGTTCGTCCGTGAATTCTGTGAGGTCCATCCGTCAGGTCCGTCCGTGAGGTCCGTCCGTGAGGTCCGTCCGC